AGATGGGGGAACAGTCAACATGGTCGAAAAAAACATCAATGTACAATCTTACAGCTTTTAATCAACAGAAATGCAATCTTGTAAACAGTATTTCAGCTCAATTTTTTTCCCCTCATATCTTTTCAGGACATTAAAAATCAATTTTCTGGCTAGGAACAAGGGGACACCCACAACCCCTAAAACAAAACTGAGGCATCTTGGAAAGTTAGTTGCGTTATTCTTCTTGAACAGCTGGTAGCAGTTTCATACAACACGGGAAACTCTAGAGTCACACACAGGCCCAGGGCGGAAACGAGACTATGTTCTCCTCCTTTAAAAGAGTACTGAATTGATTTGCTTTTAATTAAACAATAGTCTGACAGTATCACTTTCAGGCTTTCAAATACATTTCTTTTTAAAAAGGAATTCCAAAACCTCAACTGTCACTGATTTAAGTCAAAATCCTACGAATTACTAAAGTAAATGAAAAAACATATAATATGAATAAAAATACAGCAATTAATCATTCGCTGAACAAAAAAAACAATTTACATCCACTCTTCCCCTTGATTACAGTTAAATGAAGTGCCTGTTGCTTACACCTCTACAAGTTTACAATAAAACAAGTCTCAATTACAATCTATACACCCCCACTCCCCACCCATCCTTCTTCAACAAACAAATTTAATTCTCACCTTCTTGCCGTGTCAGGAGTTAAAAAGTAAATTTGTTTACTGCAGTAAATGATCATGAAAGAGCATAAAGGGAAACATTAACAGGACTTTTTTTTTTAAAAAAAACGATCTGCAGGAAATCCGTCGAAACAAAAGACAGAGTTTTCAATTAGCAAAAACATTGCAAAATCCAGATTTTCCAAACCACACAACTGGCTCTACTTAAAAAGCATACTTCCTTTTCTTTAAAAAAGATGTCTACGCATTTTGTTTTACAGTTTATAATTCAGATTCAACCATTTCATTGACAGTTTAAAAGAAATTCCTAGAGATTCTTCATTTAGACAGGCATCTTCTGAGATACTGAATTTTAATAAACATTGTTTAGACGCTCCCTACTGCAGAATGTTGGATATGTCAAACCTATTCTGTTCAGTTGCTGGAGGCTTTAATAAATCAAGGTACTATAGGCAATAAACAGCGAGCACCACAGCTCCAAGTCACAGAACAAACACATAATGTCGTTTATAAGGCAGCTTGCTGTCAATATGAAACTTGATACAGTGTAGATTCAGCTCTGGATACTCTGATTACAACCTAGTTCGCAAAAAAAGGTAGTGTTTTGTTTTTCTAACCTGTCAATTCAACTTGTGTTACGCTGAAGTGTTTTGCTTGACACACAACAGGCAGATTTCAGTGTTGGCGAGTTGTGAATTTTAGTTACTATGCATCTCGTACAAGTTCCTCTATTACTGCCGGGACTTTTGGAATCAAACTGGAGTGCACCAGAGCTTGAAATTAGGCTGCCAGAACCATAAGTTGACAGAGGCACTGGTCCATGGCAAGAAACAGTGGCCCTGTGTTATAGAGTCATCTTTCACACATATTAAGGGCAGTTTGCAAAGAGAATCCGGCACTAGACATTTCATGCATGCGAAAGCACAAAGCAACAAGCACAGATTGCTGTCAAGATGAATTCATTGGTCTGTTGGGTCAGCCAGTGATCCCCACTGCTAGATTCACTGGCCCTGGTCCAATGCTGCAAACCTCTGGTTCAAACTAACAGGATCTTCTGAGAAGTGACTAACACACCACTGACATGAGTAACATCATCTGCAATGCACTGTCTTTAAAGGGAGATGGATGCAGATTCAATGGTAACTTTCAAATGGGAATCGGATAATTGGCAAAGCATGAGGGGAAAAGATTCCCAGGGTTTTGGGCAAAGTAGTTCAGGACTAATAGGATAATCCATGCGAAGTGCCAACAAAATCATGATGTCACAATGGTCCCTACCTGTGCTGTATCAATCTGTGACAATACAGGCTGAAGAACTGCAGAAATCCTCATACACAGTTAAAAGATTTTTCAATCCTGGCATAAAAAGAAGCCTCAAATCTGACCATGTATAGATTCAGGTTCTATTTATAACTTAGGCTTTTCTGAGTGACTTAGCAACTGTGCGAAGTTGACTATGTCATGTTTCCTTCCCCCCCCCCATTTTCTTGCAGAGTCTAGCACAAGGAGGCAAATCTTAAAAGTTAGAGCTAGATCATTCAGAAAAGTAATTAACAAGGTGAATAGAATGTTGGTCTTTATCTCAAGAGGGCTGTAAAACAAATGGTGGAAGTTGGATTACAGTTCTATCCAAACATAGTGCACTCCCATTGTACTGTATTTACATCTGTGCACCACACCTCTGTAAAGGTACACTGGATGTGTGTCAGCTTTTGTGTGTAATACAGATTCACTAGAATGATACTGGGCTTAAAATGGTTAAAGTCCGAGGTCCAGTTGCAAAGGCTAGGCTTGGATTTCCTTTGTAACATTTAAGGGTGAAGCAAATTGAGGTTTATGAAGAAGTTTAAGGGAAACAATTGAGGAGGGGGTTATGAAAGAGAAAGTGAGATCGAGAGCCAAGAGCGAGAGAAACTATTACATCTATTTCAAGAGCCCAAACAAGGAATATAACACTAAAATTACAGCATGGCCACTGGGAATAATGTCAGGAAGCACTTAATCAAAAAAAAATGTAGTGGAAATCAGGAGCTTCTTGTCCAAACAATAAGCCAAGGTTGAGGGTGGGTGGGGGTCAACTGAAAACTCAACAACAGAGATTGCTAGTTGTTTCTGGCAAAGGGTATTAAGCAATATGGAACTTAAAAAGTGGGCAGATATAGTTAATTTACAGATCAGCCATGATCTAACTGAATAGTGGAACAGACTTCAGAGGGTTGAATGGTCTCTTCCTGTTCTGATTATAATTAATCAAATAAAGCATGCAACTGGTGTCCATTTTGAGAGCAGTACTGATGATGACAGTCCATTGTAAATAATCTCCCTTATAATTAATTACATGCCTGAGTGGACACAGTAGCTTTTGGAAAACATGAAGAGATGACACTTCTCTATGGAGTGACCAAGCAGTGAGGCAAAGAATGAGAATAAGACATCTAGAAATCAGGTCTTCAAACAGCATTCGTACATCGAAATGAGGAAACTAATTTACAGTCAAGATGCAAAAATATCATTCACTGACTCCAATAAAAACAATTTAAAAAAAGAGGTTAATTTAGGATTTTTTTAAAAAACCTACAAATTTGGAACTACTTAAATGGCAATGAAATGTCCTAGCTTTTGAACCTTTTAAAGCTTAAGGATGGTATTATACATATTCCATGAAATTAAAGAAATCAAAATAAAGATTCTGAGTTCAAGGCAAAGGTATTTCACACTGTTTTCCAATGCTTCCATTATTTTAAGAATCTTAGCAGCTAAATACCACACAGGCTAATAAACACACACACGTGCTTAGAGTAGAACATTTATGAAACAGAAAAATAGTTTTGTTTTCTGATAAGCAGCAGTTCTGATTCTTAACACCACTATTTAAAACTATTCTTCTGAACTAGAATCACATGCCATTCCCCTACGTAAGATGCACCTCCTTCAACCTTTACAGTCATTATCTTGGACATGATAAGAAGTTCAGTCATTTATATAAAACGTGGAACTATTCCACAATCAGCCATTCAAAAACCAGACACACAACACTATGGTAACTGACACTGGCACGGACAATGTCTGAACTCCATTTTAAAGTTCATTAATTCTTGGCTCCTTTCTCTCAAGTTGAAGGGAAAATCAACTTATGATTTGAGCAAAATATCCACCAGAATGGTAAGAAATATTAAAGGAGACAGAAAGAAAGAGACAAAAGAAAATTGAAAGAATGAGAAAGGAAATGTTTGAAAAAAGTAGAGATAGGAAAACAGGGAAAAAGAGATGATGGAATGAGAGAGAAAGTGATAAAAATATGATAAGAAAAATACAAAGACTCCAGTCTTCTGAATTTTTATTATAATTTTGAACATCCTGTTAGTTATTGCATTATTGCATCCTTGCAACTGACTGCTACAATGCATCATTTTTTTGAAATATTTAAGAGACTTTTAATCCATGAAGTAACAATTTCTTGCTACCAAAACTGTATCAGCATTTAACTTTACACTATGCCTTGGGATGGATTACAATACAAACAGACACAGAAACAAAACTCAGGCGAGTTTAAGGATTTAAAAAAAATTCATAATGCAAGCAGAGTTTCACGCAGATCCATCTGAAGTCTCCCAAGACTTCATACAACCAAGTTACCAATTTCTGAAATCGTGCTGGTGTTGAGAAATGTGCTTCCTAATTCCCCAGACAGACCCTTAAACCATGGCTGACACATTTAGATCACGACTCCGGGTTGCCACTACTTTCCAGCACTGCCATAACCAGAAATGCTCGTTTCCAAAGCAATCAATTTCAATTAAAAAAGAAACTTCACACAAGTACAATCATCGACCATCCTCATTCAACTGCAGCCCGTTTAGTGTACTAAATTATTTAACAACCTCTAGAGGCTACAGAATGATCAAAAGCATTTACAGTAGAGTCAGACAACAATTTAACCTCTTTTGTTTAAAAAAATACAAGAAGCGTAAACGATCTCGATTAGGGAAAGGAGTTTTTTTTTACATTTAAGAACATGCACTTTCTTCTATTTTGTATTACTGAACTTCATTTAGTTCCGCACTATCAGACCCCCCTCTCCACACACCCTCCGCTCCACATACCACAATGGTATTTTTCAAACTAGGCAGTCCTGAGAAAAGATAATATTTAAACGCAGAAACGTGTAAAATTATAGAAAAAGTGCAGGGCTGAGATTTTAAGAGATGTGCGTGTGAATGCACTTTGTAGAAAAATCACTGCACCCCTTACGTCAGAATCTAAGCAAATATTTGCCGTATGCGTTAAGAAAGCTGGGAGAGAAACGGGTAGAGGAACTGAACTACTTACTCAGAGAGAGACAGAGAAAGAGGAAAGCTCTCGAGTTTTCCTGGGATTTGCAACAAGTCGGCGGTGAGGCAGAGCTGAGTAGGCCAGGCCCAAGCGGTGAACACTCTCCCTCTCTCCCACCCCCCACACAACAAGAAATCTCCAGCTCCGCCGCTCCTTCTCTCTTTCTTCCCCCTGCACCAGGAATAGAAGAAAAAAAAGACACGAAATTCCGACTTTCAATTCGCATTTTTTTTTTAACTTTCATTACCAAAACATCAGGAGAGCGAGTGGAAAAAAAACATACACAAAAATCTACACACATTGGTAATATACAACCCTTGTCGCCGGTAAATAACTACTTTGCTTATTTATTTATTGAAAACGAAATTTTTCTTTTTTAAAAAAAAATCTCTCCCCCTCTAAAGACTTGCGTCCGGAAGTTCTGCTTTACAGAGAGAGAGGGAGAGAGAGAGAGAGCGCGCGAGCGAGAGAGGGGGAAAAATGTTAAAAATGTCAAAGATTTTTTTGCGCCAGATTTGCCTGGGCGCGGGGAGCGGGCTGCAGCCCAAATCTAGAGCAAACACTCCCTCAAATTGTTTTATTTTCAAAGCAAATCAATCGATCCGAAAATTCTTTTCGTTTTTTTCCCACACGTCCAGAAGTATCAATTATATTTTGCTTGTTGCAAAAATTAGATACATTATTACTAAAAATAGATACATTGTTTCAAACAAAAATGATACAAACTCACCTCAGGATATTTTTTTAAAAGCTCTTATAAATGCATAAAAAATATTATTTTTTTTTAAAGAAAAAGAAAAGTTTGGTAACTTGCTGTTGAGGGGGTGTATTTTTTTTTGTTGGGGTGTGTTTTTTTTATTGCAGTGAGTTGCAGAGCTGGTGAACGGCACAGCACTCGCAAGAATTCCAGGAATGAGAACTGGAATGAAATGAACGCGAACTCGAGTCTGCGCACTGCCCGACCCATCCGGGCGGGGGGAGGTAGAGAAGGTACGTCATCACCTCTTGGGCTGGGGTGAAGGGTGGGGTGGAGGGTAAACAGGCACAAGGACGCATGTGCCGAGGGGGTATGCAATGCCTTCTGGGATTTGTAGTCCCAAATCTGAGCTAATACAGAAAGGGGGAGGGTGGGGAAAGGATTTGTATTTATCTCGCACCCTTCAAGACATCAGGATATCCCAAAACTGTTCAGAGTCAGTGAAGCATTTACAAAGCATTGACACTGTCACGATTGTAGGAAACATGGCAGTTATCTGCGCACAACAGGATCCCACAGAACAGTTAAAAAAAACAGAAGTTGCTGGAAAAGCTTAGCAGCATCAGTGAAGGAAAGATCAGAGTTAACGTTCCAGGTCCGGTGCCCCATCCTCAGAACTGTTATGGAAACTGGATGTCTCAAAGCACACCTACAGCCAATTAAGTACTTTTAAATTGCAGTTACTGTTGTAACACAAGAATTGAAGCAGCTAATTTGCACAGCGCTCACTTCAACAAAGAGCAAAGTGGTAATGATAAGATCATTTTTTGTGTGTGTTATTTATTGTGGGATAAATGTTAGCCAGAATCCCTGGCATTACGCTCCCACTCTTCTTTCATGAGATCTTTTGCACTCAGCGTGCAGGTTGATGGATTTTGGTTTAACATCTCAACCAAAGGACAATACCTCTAATAGCACAGCTCTACTTTAATTCTGTAATTGGAATGTCATCCTTGATTTTTATGCTCAAGTCCTGGCCTTGTTACTCAGATGCAAGAGTGCTGCCAATGAGCCATGGTTGATGCATGATAATGACCAATTATTCATTCCAGTGCTTCGGGGCAGAGGAGGGGTAAGGGAGCAGGGACCAAATTTATTTCTTGTAACTACTTTACATGTTATTGCTCACTAACAGCAACATAGGGTTGGGTGATGGTGTAGTGGCAATGTCACCATCCTAGTTTAGCAGAAGCCTTGGGCTAATATTTTGAAGATGTGGGTTCAAATTCCCTAATAGCAGATGGTGAAATTTGGATTCAGTGAAACTCTGCAGTTTTAAAAACTGGCCTAATGGCAACTATGCAATCACTCTCAATTGTTGTGGAAAAATAAATCACTGTTGTCTTCAGGGAAGGAACTCTGCCATCCTCACCTGTTCTGGCCTACATGTAGCTCCAGGCCCACAGCATGGTCGACCGTTTAACTGCCAATTTCTTCTGAGAAATTAGAGATGGGCAATAAACACTAGATACCCACTTCCCATAAATAAATAAACAGGACATAGGACGCTTTCTGAAAAGATGACATTCTAAATTGGATAAACACTTTAAATGAAAATTAATCATGTACTTATGGGTGTTGTTTGAAGGAGGAACGTTGGCTAAGACGTCAGGAAGTAGTACTGAAAAGCAGAATTCTCACCCTGCTCTCATTTAGCAAACTCACAGCACTTCTGCCTGGTCGAAGCCTGTCAGCGGGCTGCTGACTTTCCTTCCAGAGGAGATATAGTGAGCTGTCTGCTCCCTGTAAAACTCTGCACAATGTTTCAGATCTGGGACCCGTCATTAGAACTGGGGCAAGTTAGAGACGTTTTAATTTTTACTTGGTAAAGTAATATGTTGACAATTCATAACTAAATTAATTCATAAGTAAATATCTGCAACTAGCTTCTATTTATTTGCAATACACAGTAATTCTAGTTAAATACAGAAACCTGGTCTGTGCTTACTATGAACCTGGGTCTAAAAGACAGGTAATTTCGGGAAATCTGCATATTTTTAAAAATATTTAACTTTTGCAATGACTTGAAGAATAGCGAGACTTGATCTTCAGCACACTACCCTGGTGGGGACTAACAGTGGGATTGGATAAACATTGGAGGAAGGTCTGTGATTGGGTGGAAATCAAGAGAGATTTAATGACAAAAAAAAAGTCCTCCAGAGAAAAGAGAATAGCAGAGATGGGGCAAGAAAACAAGTGATGAAGCAAAAGATATGCCTGAAGCATGTGTGCAGCTAATCAAAAATAAATAAAATAACCAAAGTGAAGGAAATAAAAAGGGAACGCCTTTTATGATCTGAAATTATTGAACATGATATTAAATCCAGAAGCTGTAAAGTACCTATTTGAAAAACGAGGTTGGTTCCTGAAGCTTTCATGGAGCTTTATCAGAACAGTGCATAGATGGGGACAGAAATATCAGCATGACAGTAAGATGGAAAATTAAAATGACAGGCACCAGAAGATCATGCTTGTGAACAGAATTGAGTTGTTCTGGCAAAGCAGTGACCCAAACTGCATCTGGTTTGCCCATTTTAGGGTAAACTATATCGAAAGAGGAGAATGCAGTAGACTTGATTGAAACAAGTGCAAGCAAAATGCTGCTTTACCTGGAAGGAGCCTTTGAGGCTTTGAAAGGTGAGGAGAGAGAAGGTAAAATGGCATGTTCTACAACTCCTGCATTTGCATGGAGAGGTGCACAGGAAGGGAATAGCGGGTTGGAAGTGACTGAGGAATAAACCCTCCAGAATGCTGAATGGAAAGGAAGCAGATTATGTGTTTGTTGGTGGCATCATACTGAAAATGGCAAGAATGGTGGGAAATTATCCTTTGAATGCAGAGACTGGAGTAGTGGAAGGTGAGGACAGGGGGAATTCTATCATTGTTCTGGGAAGGATCAAAAAGGGTTAGTGCAGAAAATGCAGCTGATATGGTTAACAACTCTATCAACACAGTGAGGCAATCTTCAGTTGAGGAAAGAGGGAAAATATCTTAAAAGTATTGTTGCGGAATCATCAAGAGAAATGCAACAGAGATGTCAGAACTGGAAAAATGGAACAGAGTCTTTACAGGGTGCAGAATGTGAGGAAGTGTAGTTAGGGTTAGTATGTAAGTCAGCTGGCTTATAATGAATATTAGTTTTTGGCTGATTGTTTGTCCCCACCAGGGTAGTGTGCTGAAGATCAAGTCTCGCTATTCTTCAAGTCATTGCAAAAGTTAAATATTTTTTAAAATATGCAGATTTCCCTAAATTACCTGTCTTTTAGACCCAGCTTCGTAGAAAGCACAGACCAGGTTTCTGTATTTAACTAGAATTACTGTGTATTGCAAATAAATAGAAGCTAGCTGCAGATATTTACTTATGAATTAATTTAGTTATGAATTGTCAACATATAACTTTACCAAGTAAAAATTTAATCTTCTTATAAACTCCTCTTCTATACACGTGCAGATCAACACAGATATGAAAGATACATGAGTGTTATGGGTGGAACGAAAAACTGGGAAGGCAGTTTAGTGGTCCCTGCTCATAGAATTTACTGAGATGATTCTTTGCTGATCAGCATGCTGCTTCTTAATCTTCCTTCTCCGGATCCTTTCCATTGTTTGTACAATGCCGAGGGAGACTGGTCCATACTTATTGGAGGTATCTGACTTATTAATTAAAAGCTGTAGCTTCTAGCAACTGCTAAGGAAAAATAAATTGGTTTTCTTCAGTATTTACTGCAGAAAGGTTTCTGGAACAGTTTTTGAGCCTGAAAAGTTCTGATGGTTTTTCACAGTCTTGTCCACAATCCCAAGCTGTTCAGCTACCAGGGAGCCCATTAAAAAAATATATATTTAGATTACTGGCCCTGCATTTACCTTGGTTAATTCACCCAGCCTGCACATCCCTGGAAACTACAAGCAGTTTAGCATGGCTAGTCCATCCAACCTGCACATCCTTGGACTATGGGAGGAAACTGGAGCACCCAGACCCAGAAACCTATGCAGACACAGGGAGAATGTTCAAACTCCACACAGTTGCCCAAGGGTGGAATTGAACCCAGGCCCTTTGCGTTGAGGCAGCAGTGCTAACCACTGATCCACCTTGCCATCCCTGAATCTCCAGCATCCATAGTTCTTTGTTTCATCTTGGTAAGGAGACAGTTAGGACCAGGAAATTGGAAAGTTTTAAAATTGCCACCATAACTCCCTGATTTCTTTTGAATGGCAAACAAGCCTAGTCTATGGAAGACCAGTCTTCATAATTTAAGCCTTAACATTACAAAATCTGTTACTATGGTCAGAATTACTTGAGTACATTGTACATTGTGAGCTGATCAGACAAAGCCATCCTGCATCTGTAAGTAAGAAGTCAATTAATTACTTTCCAGTTGTAGCAACTGTTGTAATGAAGGGAAATATGAAAATGCAGCAGCTAATTGGCATACAACAAGGTATCACTGAGGCAACTAAATCATTTGTTTGTAGATGTTACTTAGTTGAGGGATAAATATTGGCCAGAGTCAGGCAGAACTCCCTTGCCTTTCTTCCAACAGTACTGTGATTCTTTAAACTCCACCTGAGAGGGGCAGACTGGACCTCAGCTTGATGTCTTTACCAAAGGACAGAAACTCCAATAATGCAGTACTCCGTCAGCACTGTACTGGACATCAGCTCAAATCCCTAGAGTGTGGCTTCACAACCCCACTGAACTACACCAAAATTCTAGATTCTTAATGGGGTTTGATCTTGCAATATTACAAACCATGCTTACTAGCAACTGAACCAAGCTGACAACACAATGTAACATTAATTAATCTGCTTAGTCAGCCTCCAGAACAAATAAATCCTTCCTGTAACTTTTGCAGGAACATACATGTCATTAAAGCCTAGGTACAAATGGTAACAGATAGTCGGAGATTCATAGGAATACATAAAGTGAACAAGAAATCTATGAAACCAATGTCATTCCACTATTGTGAATGGCATTCTAATATTGTCAATGTCACTCCACATTTTAACAAGGGAAAGGGAGATAAGTTAGGAGGTTATAGAGCTACTAGTCTAACTTCACAAGTAGGGATTTTACCAGAGCTTATTGTTAGGGACAAAGTGATTAGAGCACTTTATATATATTTCAACATGCACTGCAGTGATGCTCCAAAGCTCATTTAACAGCGTGTTACAAATCTGCATTCTTTACCACCGAGTAGGACAAGAGCGT